AGAGAGAGAGAGAGAGAGAGAGAGAGAGAGAGAGAGAGAGATGTCTTTCCATTGCTTTGATTTATGGTCTGACTGTATTAATTAGCTATCTGCATCTGATTATTTAATGCTGCAGTGCTGAGTGGTCACCACCAAGTTGAATGAATTGTTAGGGCTGCCACAGTTTTTCTTCATTGGTTGCTTTTCTTAGTTGCTTAAATCTCTCTAAATAAATAGATAACATTATTTCAAACAAATAATGGCCACACTGGTGTGGGAAGAATTCCCTTGGAGTTCCTGCTGTCTCGATCAATATTCCCAAAGTCTGATGGGATTGGATGACTCAAAATGTACTCACCCCTGAATTCTTTAGATAACTCTTCTCTAAATGGTATCGCCAGGGCACCATGCAATAGATGAGCTCTGACCAGGAATCAAAGTAGCCAGTCCCTGTCTTGAAGAGCTTACAGGTTAAAACAAACTGGAGACCAAAGCAATATTGCTCTATGTAATAATCTCGCGCTCTAAAAGAGCTCTCATCAGCAGAGCTCAAAGCACTTTACCAAGGAGATCAGTGTCATTGTCCCCATTTTAGAGGTGGAGAAACTGAGGCACCAAGAGGGAAAGTGACTTGCCCAAGGTCACTCAGCAGGCCAGTGCCAGGGCCAGGAATAAAAGCTTGGTTTCCGAGTCCCAGTCCAGTGCCCTATCTATAAGGTCACTCTGCCTAGCTGTCGTCCTCCCGTTAACATGTCAAAAACTGCAGTCAGGCTGTGGTATCCCCAAAGAAGCAGGAAGGCTCAGACTGCAGTAGAAAGATTTATTTCCCTGTTACATCAATGGATGAGCCTGGATTCCACATCTTACTAAGGGTGTGCAAAAACTGTATCTGTCTACATGTCTCTCTCTAGCCAGCTCCTGGTAGATCCCTGCCCACAAGATAGTGCTATGTCACATGGCTTCTGGAACCTGAATCATCCATACAAAATATTGTGCTTTCTAAACTTCTGGCTGTTGTGTAGCAATCAGCCCTTTCTGCATCACCCTGTGGTCCACGCTGCATCTTAGCTGTTGAGGCCAGTGCTACGGGAGTCCTGTTAAACCCTGACTAAGGAAAGCATCCATATGGAAGTCTGCAAATGCCACCTGTGTTTGTACTTAGACCGGTAAACAAATGATCTGATTTTCCCACTCACCTACGGCATAGTAACGCCACTGATTTCAGTGTCACTGCTCCTGGTTTACACCCATGCGGAAGTGCCGGAGAATCAGGCCTCTCTTTTTCCTCTTGCGGTTGCTTGGCAGAGTGTATTCCCCATCCCAGAGAGACATTGCTCTGATGGGTCCCAGTGAGGCTGGGAATGGCTTTCCTTTTTCTGCTGTCCTCGTTTCAACAGGAAAGTGCTTTGAGAAGCACAATGCCTAGCACAAAAGAGGGGGAGGAAAAGATTTCCGAAGCCAAACCGCATTACACTCAGGCGGTGTGAGCACCACAGAGCCTGCGTCAAGAACAGCCTGGCCTTGAGGGACTAGCAAACATTCAGAGGCTCTGAGGATTCAAAGTTATGAGCAACATCTGCGTAGGAATAGATTGTCTTCTTCCTGTACGTCACCTCTTTCTATTAGCTTAGATATCAGGACGCACAGCTGGGAAACCTCATTTATAAAGAAGGAGAAAATACAGACGATAGAAACAAAGAACGTGGTGGGGGAGCCGGGAATAGCCAGGCAATATTAAGCTCCATTTATACTAAACTTGTCTGACAAAAGATGAGCAGGAGATAAAGCGTCTACAGATTTGCAAGCAACTTCCCCACTGTTTCAGGTGCAATGCTACTGGCATCAACAGATGCGTTTCCTCAAAGGGATGTGAATTCTGTCTCCTCGTGCAGCCATACTCGGGATGTGCAGCAGAAGCAGAAGGGGACTGGGAGGGGACGGATGGTCCTGCAGTTCACATTCCGATCTAGCAGTCAGGGATCTACTCTGTATGGCCCAGGGCAAGTCACTTTAGGCCAGATGTTAGCTCTTCAGCCACTGGTTATTTGCGGGGAAGCTTTACAAGGGTGCAAGTCGACGTTTGTGCGCAATGCCCGGGGATCCGAAGTGGAGCACAGCCACCCTGACATCTTTTCTAAAGGTGCCTTAGACAATCTGGCTTCCGGCCCGGCCACTGCCTCAGTTTACCTTCTCTCTCTCATTACACAGCCCATCTGGCACTTTCCCAAGACTGCTGCACCCCTGGGGGTGGTTCGTTCCCATAAGATAACACTCAAACCCAGCCACCCCTCTTCTCCAGGCTCACTTGGGGCGTTCAGTGTATAATTGGGCTTTAGCATCCACTCAGCCCTCCCTCTAGGCTCAGAAGTCTTCCCAGTCCTTTATCAGAGTGCCCACTGCTTCTAGCACACCCTCTGGGCTCACAGTCCTTTGCGGTCCCCCCAGCTGGGGCTTCTCTCCCAGCAAGTCCCTCGCCCAGCCTTATATCTCAATAGGCACCTGCTCCATGCAGGTCCCTCTGCCTGGGAGCACCAGAGCATCATCTGTCCTCTCCTCAGCTGGCTCCCTCCCACCCCCCAGGCTCAGGCTGCCCGTATATTCCCCACCCTGCTCCCACCACACGAGCACTGGTGTCATGCCCCTCACCTGAGG